TAAATATCCAATACAAATTTATCCTACAATGCTAATGGGTTAAAAGAAAGATTTTGAAGATAACTTGCGTTACAAATTCTTAAACAAACTGAACCATCCTTGCCGAGATAAAAGTGTTTTGAAGAAGAACCGTCAAAGTCTGGAAGTTGCGCCAAACTTCCGATTGAGGAGGAACCGCCAAAGTCTTGATATGAACCTCCAAACGGACCTTCAAAGTAGGTTCATCGAATCTGTCTCTAGAATGACAAATCCATCTGCTTATTCTTGTGCAACAAGACAAGCTCACTACGGCCAAGAGACAATTCTATCGAGATGATTGAAACGTCCTTGAAATCTCTGACACGTCCTCTATCAGAATTACCCAACGATATGGCCATCCATGATCTGACGTTTCTAGAATCGTCCTCCAAACACTGCATCTCGAAACTAGAAACGGATTACTATACCTGGCACATTTCTGTTTTACAAACAATGATTGTTGCTCAATTTTGAGATCAATTTCCCGATTGACCTTACCTCGGACTTAAGATCGGAGAACTGTTCCAGAAATTTCAGAACGAGCTCTTTCCAAAAACATCGAGATCGTACTTTAGTTCCTTCGTATTTGGCCGGAATCCATCCGCTAAATCAACTGGTCGCAGACTCGCTCTGCATAGATCAATCTCAGTAAAACATCCATAACTTTCAGTCCATAACTCCGAATGACAAACTTCTTTTGAATATAACTAGATCACTGAGTTAAATACTTACCCATAAATTTCCGTTTGATTCCGATATGTTTTGGCTGTCCGTTTCTCTCCTTCTCAAGGAGAGGACAGATCTGCCTCCTTCAACATCTCCTTTGTCTCATCTCTGATCTTCTTCTCCGGTGGATTCTCCACCACTGTCCATCTTTATGCCAACACAACATGAATTATGTAAATCACAATATCGCAAAACACAAAACAGGGATATAAGACGTTGATAATGAATTCATACATAAAGTTCGTCTCCCTTGACATTGCAAAGCAAAAGAGCACAAGAGCTGGAGAAGCATCAGACAAATCAATTAACGGTTTTACCTCATCATGAAGGGATCCCAGTCGTGGATAGACGGCAGCGGCAACTGCTGGACAACCGACATTGGTAACTAGGGGAGAGGAGGAGACGTGAAGAAAGGAGAAGAAGAGATGATTTGCGGTGGAGATGAACGGCCGCTGACGGCAGAGATGATTTGGAGAGGAAGCGGCGATGAAGAGAAGAGTTGTGTCGAGGAAGTTTATTCATAGATCTCAAATCCTCTAGGTTTATTGATATGGAATGGTCGAAAATATGTCAAACAAATTTCGACTAATTTTTTACCAATAATTATTTCTTTTTTTCTTTTTTTAAAACGACTTGATACTATTTTTTTATAAGATTTATTTTTCGATGTTGAAAAAAAAATATTTATTCTTCATAAAAAAATTGGTCATAGTTTTTCTTACCAATTTTCACCCAATTCTTTTTGTCACAAATTTTCAACCAATTTTTGACAAATTAATGAATCTGTCAAAAATTGGTCAGAAATTTTCGACCAATTTTTATTATTATATTTCGTCATAATTTTTTGATCAATTTCTATTGAAAGTAAATATTTGTCTAAAATTGGTTAAAAATTGGTCAAAACAGTGTCTAACCACAAAAAAATTGATCAAAAATTTTTGACCAATTTTTAACCAATTCTTTTTGTCATAAAATTTTGACCAATTTTTGACAAATTTATGAATCCATCAAAAATTGGTCGAAAATTTTGGACCAATTTTCGACTATTATATTTCATCATAATTTTTTGACCAATTTATAACGAAAATAGACATTCGTCTAAAATTAATTGAAAAATGGTCAAAATTGTTTCTGATCACAAAAAAGATGGTAAAAAATTGATATGTTTTCTTGTACTG